CAACACTACACACTTTGTTATATCAATAGGTAGATTTTTTAATGGGCAAAATCCATCTTTATGGTATTCAGCATTTAATTTTAATCTAAAAGAATTATCTGTTCTTAACAGTGCAGATACATCTAAAAAGCAAACTCTATCCAAATAACCTCCTTCAACTTCACAAGAAGTACAAACAAAATAACCATTATGGTTTTTAACATTTAATAAAAACGCTTTAGCTGGTGCATCAGCAACAATGTGAGCTACTTAAAAATTAATCTTTTTATTGTTTATTTGAATACCATGAGTTAAAATGTGATTTAGTTAATTTATAAATGGTTCTTAATATTCATTTATATTACCGGGTTTACCGTTAAAACTGTGAAAAATTCAAACTGGAAAAATTTTCTTTTTAAAAATTGGTAAATTTATGAATGACATAAGAATTGGCCAAAACTGTGTTTTAGAATTTTTTGCTAAAGGAAGACTATCAATACTAAAACTTAATTTTATAGGTATATTATTAGTTATATTATGTATTTGTTTTAAAAGATGAGGTTGTATAATATTACAAATACCTAGATTTAGGTATGAACCATTTTGAATTTCTGTAATATATCTAATAGCTTTATATTCACGTAGAATTGTACGGATATCCTTGGGAACTTTTTGACCTATGTTCCTAAGAATATTTAACATCTCATTGGCACATCCATGTGATACATTGAACTGCACAGCCCACTTTCGAATTTGTTGAACTAAATCTTGTTCTATATCCTGGTTATCATTAGTTACATACAATATGTCATCAATGGGTTGGGGCTCTGCAGAATATTCCTAAAAAAAAATATTTAGGTACCTATAAGTTATAATTTAATATTTTTAATACGTATATAACAATTTAAGTAATACTTACAATATAAGGTATGAAATTCATTTGTAAAATTTGGTGTTGTATTAGAATCACATGGTTGAATGAAGTTGTTTATTAGGGGATTTTAATAGTAAAATTGAATTGAGCTTAAACAATTAAGTAAAAATTCGAACAAACCTATTTTTTTAATTATATAATATATAAACATACCTGGGATAATGACTGAGTTTCAACATTTGTGGCAGTTGTTAAACTATTGTTGTGTAATTGAATTTTATTTCTCATACGCCTTTGAAATTGGTGTTTAGAAATAGTTCCAATATCTTTGACTCGTTTATGGATTTTTGGCAGCACTAAAGATTATAATAAAAATAACAAACTGATCAGTGATATAAGTTATTATTAAGTAAGTTTAACTGTTTCAGCTAAACCCAAATTGTATTATATAGTATATACACAAAACTTTATATTATGCTTTTATTGATAAAAAAAATAAATAATATTTTGTACCTATCTAAAGAAATCATGAAAAAAACATTGAAATTAATTAAACTGATTTTATTGTAAATTTAAAGATTCTCAAATGGTTATATTATGCCAATAGTGTATTCCAGCCTTCTCTCTTACTATTAGATTTTGAACTCGGTGCTCACATTGCTGCTAAAGAAGTATTTCCTTTAATTATTAAAGCCTGTCGTTTCCATCTTGGTCAAGCATGGTACAGAAAAATCAGTTCCATTCTAATAATAAAAAAAAACTACGACGATAAAAATTCACAATCTGGACTATGGTTAAAAAAATTTTTTGGTTTGCCTTATTTACCATCACATATGATTTCTGAGGCGTTTATTGAGATAATGGCTACTTGTCCAGAAGAAAAACAATATTACAATTTTGCTGATTACATATTGGATAATTATATTGAGACCAATCATTTTTCACCAATATTGTGGGCAGAAGAGCTTGATAAAAGTACAAGAACGACTAACGGTGCAGAAAGTTACCATAGACAACTTAGGCATGAATTTCATGTTCCACATCCTACTATATTTCATTCGGTAAGAATATGAATTTAAAATAATAATTTTGAGTAATTATTAATTTATTTTTGTTTATTTTTTTCTTTCAGATAAATGTGTTAAAACAACAACAGATAATTACTGAAACCAAATTTCGACTCATACGAAATGGCAACGTGAACCGTACACGCAAAGTATGCAGGGAAAGAGAAAAATCTATTTTAAATGTATATGATCATTTCATTAACAACGAGATTAGCTTGATTGATTATTTAAAAACATTAGGATGTAAGTTTATTTCAATTTGATTATATATTGAATTATTTTATATTATGATTTTTAATTAATACTAAATTATTTTTTTAATAACAACAAAATCATTTTTTTAATTAATAACAATAAAATATGTTTAATTTTTAACTGTCAATCAAGTGTGTGCGGTTTTGAACTATCGACCTTCCAAATTTCCCTTTTTAACAATAGAATAAATGTGTGCGGTATTGAACGATGTAAATTGTGCGGTTATGAACGGTAAGTGTGCGGTTTTGACAGGGGCGGACTGGGCCAGCGGGATACCGGGAAGTTTACCGGTGTGCCGCTGCTCAAAAAATAATTTGTTATTATTATATAATTATTAGTTATTAGCTATTACTTATAAGTTATAATAAAATAGTAAATAAGTATAAATATAAATTATAAATATTTTATTTATATTTTAATATCTAACGCCCGTGCATGAAAAATTGTTTACATTTGGTGTTTAAAAATAGATTTTAGGTTTTGGTTCGGCTGATACTTCACCTCCCCCTTCCCGGCATCAACAACAATTATTATTTATAATTATAACTTCATATACGACGCCAATATTATGCCAATCGATTAATAATAATAAAGCACTGTTATAAGTTTTAAGTTTATAACCATGTACTAATTATTATCATAATGTTGTATAATATGATAATATATTTTATTATTAATGCGTTAAATTCTTAAATTGGCTGTTAACTTGGTAGATACACTATACAGTTTCGTATGTTCAGTGTTTTTTCTTGTTGTATATTTCTTTGGTGATTTTCAATATCTGCCTGTATGTTGAGTTTGAGTATTGGTTATTAGAAATGGAAAGCAAAAGAAAGGGTGGTGCCGAGAAAATGAGAGAAAAAAAAAAAAAACTCTTAATAAAGTCAAGTGAGAGCTGTTTGAAAATAAACCAATGCTTTTCATCAAATACACATAGTGACTCTGGTAAGTAAATTTAATTTCAAATGTACCTCACAAAATTGTAAATTTTTTTGTTTTAAATTATGGTGAAAATAAAATATAAAGGGAATCATTGTTATTTGATTTATGAGCGTTTGTGTATGATCAATAATTCGAATAATATATTATTTTAGTTATGAAAAAAAATCTCTGTAATCAACCACAAATAAGCATTCAAAATGTAAGTACCTACCTATAATAATTATTTTTACCTTGTATTCTTTAAAAATAATAGATATTCAATATGAATATAATTTAAGGAATAATGAGTTTAATCTAGTTATAATAGTAACTACAAATACTACAATATAAGTGTTAAAATATTTTATATTTTTACATAAGGTGTTAAATATTATTATGTTATGATTAAATTACTGTTACCATTTACCAATATATTATTTGTTAATTGTTTGTAAAGTACTTATTTAATTTTGAACAAAACTATTAGGTAAGTTTAGTTTACACAAAATGTATTCAGTAAATAAATTAGTTTTAATTTTTAAAATAGTTGTTTTATATTCTTTATTATACTGTATTAAATACAGATTTACAAAATAATTTTTTTAGAGTAATGTGAGTAATGATGAAGTGAATTTTGGTGCTAGTACTAGTAGTACAAGCTCTAATTTAATGGATTTTGAAGATAACCAACTAGTACAAAATCAAGTAAGAATAAAAATTGAATTGATATTTGTTTTTTTTTTTTTACTTTCATTAATTAAATGTTTAAAATGTGACCAATTTTAGAATGATAATGTTGATTATTTGGGCAATATTTCTAATAAAAATAGTTTAAAAATCTTCTTAGATCGTGAATAAAAAAAACTACTCTTAAAAATTTATCTAGTTTTTACATTAAATTTATTTTATACATCAAATTTTTTTAGTAACTTCTTAAATAATTGGTTATTGATGCTACCTAACAATTTATACATTTGTATATACCTACTAATATTATTAAAGGAGTATAAAAAAAAAAAAAAAATTTAGACATAATTTATTTGATAAATTAAATATTCATTACATTTATATTATATATTCATAATATTCTTTATTAACATAGATATCTAAAACAAATATACTTTCTACTAATGCAAGTATGAATAATGAACAATATTTTTACACTACAACATTAAAAATTATATTTTAGCTTGTAGGTTTTACATTTTACAAAAATAATTTTGTTACTATATGCTAATATGTTTTTTTCAATATTTTTTTTTCTAAGAATTTGTACTGGAAATTAAAAAATTTTAATACATTTTCAAGTAGCAATGAAAAATAATTGACAATTTGTCACCCTTATAAACTATATTTTTTTTTCTCTAGGATGTCATTGTTGTTAAAGATATTAATGTTGATATCTATGAAAAATCACAAATTAGCTATTTTAAAAAGCCCAACAAAAATTATCTTGGTCAATTTTTTGAATATCATCCACAACAACCATTTTTGGATATTCCTTTTAAATCAACTAAAGCCTTTTACCGGAAAAATAAAACTCAACGTGGTTGGCTTTCGTATGATATATTTTCCCAAAGTTTATTTTGTAGTGTGTGTTTATGTTTTTTCTTCAGAAGATAACGTGTTTACCCAAGGATTGAAACTTTGGACACATGTTTATCAAAGAATTGATGAACATGAAAATAGCAAAAAATCATACAATATGTACAGATGCTTATCTACACCATGCAAATAATAAAAGTATAGACTATTTACTATTTCCTGAACAAAAACATAAATTAAAAGAAGAAGCTAAAAATAATAGAAAAATACTAGAAAGGGTTATTGAGGTAGTAAAACTAATTGGGAAGAGAGGTTTAAGTTATCGAGCTGCTCAATATGAATCATCTTATTTTTTTAAACGATCCAACACTTGACCATGGTAACTTTTTAGAAATTCTACTTCTTTTAAAAAAATATGATGTGACATTAAATGAACATATTGATAAAATAACCAAAAGTGCTCAAGAAAAA